TCTTAATGAAATCCTGTAGAAATCTTCATGAAATCTGGAGAAATCTTAATGAAATCCGAAGAAATCTTCATGAAATCGGGAGAAATCTTAATGGAATCCTGTAGAAATCTTCATGAAATCTGGAGAAATCTTGATGAAATCTTTAGAAATCCTTATCAAATCTTGATGAAATCCTGAAACATCTTAATGGAATCTTTAGGAATCTTGATGAAATCTTTAAAAATCCTTATCAAATCTTGATGAAATCCTGGCAGATCGTGATGAAATCTTTAGGAATCTTAATGAAATCTTGATTAAATCCACTTGAAATCGAAACAAATTCAATTAACTTCCGACGAAATCCGGCTGTATCACGTCGGAACCTTATGTGATCAGGTATTTTTCTGTCGGTGGATCCCGGTGGTTACGGCAAGAACTGCTGGACATGCGACAGAAACCGATCGGATCTTTTCCGACGTAATCCGGGTCGGAATCCGTTAGTTAGGATTCCGGCGAAATTCGATCGGGTTCCGACCGGTTTTTATTGTGAATCCGACTGATTCCGGTGCAATCCGATATCGGATTCGCTAGTTTTCCGTATGATCTACAGGTCGGATTGAATCACCTGGGCAGGTAATTGTAAGAAATAGAAATTATCTCTAGAAAATTTATTGAAAAAGGATAGAATGACAACAGAAGTAGAGAACTTTAGGATCTTGGTGAACAAAAACTACATGTCGACGTGTTTTCAAGGAAAAATGGTTGCCTTTGAGCATCATTCGCATAAAATAAACTAGGAGTGTGTTCATTTACATAGATTCTATGTCGAAAAAAAAAGTATTTCAAAAGAGAAATACTAAATAAGGATTGAGAACGCAAGAAAATAGTATCAAGTTATATGTATTATCAGCAGCCTTTTTCTTAATTGGTCTTTTATATTATAATTGAACTGTTCCTGGTTCCGTTAAAAGTATCTGTCTTGGAAAATAGGATAGAGATTGATCAAAAATCAGATGATAGATTGAAGTAATTGCGAGAATATATTTTAGAAAGAAAACGAATAGTCAATAAGTATTTATTGGTAGAAACTAAAATGACTTAGTCCTGATGATATTTCCATTTCTATTCGTTAATATAAAATTCTTTTTGCCCCGATGGGTCGTATTTGTATTTAAGTTATAATTACAAATAGTTTTATTTGATTTGATGATAGAAGTGAAACCAAAATGAAACTATTTATCCCTTTTCTTTTGTCTATATTCATCTGTGAAATCAATTCAGACAACTGGGTTATGGCCAAATGAAGTGAATTTTCAGGATACCCATCACCGAAAGTCGAACAGAAAGAAAAAGAAACGGTAAACAATTATTTTGCATTTTTTATTATTAAGTTTTAGAAATGTTTCACTTAGCTATTTTAAATGCATTTGTTGCCAATATTCATGTGTTTGTTTAATTCTGTCTGTGTTTGCTCTTCTACTTTTTGGCGCGGGCATTTCTGCAATGCTTGTTGCCTTGATCGGCATCCCTAAAACGACCGTAGCAACAACAACAGCGACAACAACAGCGACAATGACAACGGCAACAACATCAACGACGACAACAACAGCGACAATGACAACGGCAACAACATCAACGACGACGACAACAGGTTTCGTGAGGCAGTAGAGTAGCCACTATAGATTTTAAAAAAAGATAGAATAAGGAATTTATCGTTTTTTGAACTATGAAAAGGACAAACAAATTATTGAGTGTTTATTTGGATGAACTCAAAGGTAATACAGTTATTGTTTTGTGCAGATAACGAATGAACGATTGTAGATGGGTGAAAAGAAGAACAGTTGTTTTGGACCTAATGTCATTTGATTGCACCATTCTCGCAGAGCTTCATCGAAGTATCCACTGGTGAGCGCAGTATATCATCAATCATCTCGTACGTAAATAGATATATCATTCAAAAAAAATTCTTTCCGAGAGAGTCTTCTGATTATGATTTATTGAGAGCATGTTGTCAATCAATGCTACTAATTGTGCTCAAGAAAAATCTTGCGAATTCGACTGATTAGGAGCTCATATCATTTGATAATCTGATCGAATCTGAGATAAGATTCAGTTTAGTTTCAATAGTGAAAGATTGATAGTAGCATCGTAAAACTAGAGAAAGATTAAACGATGATGAGAATGCATTAATCAGAAAGAGAGCTGTTGTGAATTAGTCAGGATTGTAGAATAGTAGCTTTCTCATGGAAACGATATAGACTGTGAAAAAATGTATTTAGCTTTGCGGGAGATAAAAGAAAATTTTTCACGATTGTGAGCATTATTCTATTCACTCACGTTGTCTCTTTAGTAGCTGGGGTAACGTTTGTGAAAGTAAATAAAACTCAAATAAGGCAATTGTATTTCATAATTATCTTGGTGCTAATAATAATTTTTGTTTCGTAATAGCTGCATGCAATAGAACGTTTGCTGCTCAAGTGACCTATTCCAGTGGCACTTCCCCGCTTTCTGTGGCAGCAGCCGATGTCAATGGGGACAGCAAACTGGATATTATTGTCGCAAATTACGGCTCACACAATGTCAGTGTTCTTCTCAACAATGGCAATGGCACGTTTGGTGCTCAAGTGACCTATTCCAGTGGCACTAACCCGTATTCTGTGGTAGCAGCCGATGTTAATGGAGACAACAAACTCGATATTATTGTCTCAAACAGCGGTTCAAACAACGTCGATGTTCTCCCCAACAATGGCAATGGCACGTTTGCTACTCAAGTGACCTATTCAACGGGCAGTTCGCCGTCTTCTGTAGTAGCAGCCGATATCAATGGAGACAGCAAACTCGATATTATTGTCGCGAACTGGATGTCACAAAACGTCGGTGTTCTCTTCAACAATGGCAATGGCACGTTTGCTG